GGGGTTGGGGGTGTGGTTGGGGGATGTGCGGGGGCGATTGTGTACCAATGAGGGAGTTTTTCTTTTGCTTTTCAAGGAGAGGAGCAAACGGGGGTGGGGGGGCAGGGAGAAGGGTGCAACAATGAATGAACGGAATTCCAAAATCTCTGTAGATGTTCATTGAAAAGAAAAATAAATAATTTAAAAAAATCTCCCTATGAGTCAGTTATGACTTGATAGCACACAACAACAAGTTGAGTGGGGAAAAAGACAACGACACAAATTACCATTAATAGGAATAAAAGAGCTGACATCACTACAGATGACATTTAAATGAAGGTTTTCAGCAACATGGTGGCATGCTGGATTTGTCAACTTTGAGTGTGCACATGTACACCTACACCTACCTGAGCCTGAGTGCTTTTCTGTAGAATCTACCACAGCAGGAGCTGAACTGGACGTGGTTGTGGACAGCTGAATTTGCTTTGGCTGAGAAGGAATGCTGTTAGGTCCAAAGTGGCTCCCCTCTGTTGATTGCTGGGAGTGGATCAGAGAGATGTAGAAATCTTCTAATGACTGGTGCAGTGTGGATGAATCCGAAGAATCCTTTGATTGTTGCAGAATGGGAGGAAAGGAGGCAAAAGCATGGAAAACAGCTGTTAGTATTATAAAGTTAAGTCCTCTGTTTCCTTCTATATAAAAGACAGATACTTTATCACAAGCAAACTCTTAACCACCTAGATACACGCAAGAGAGAAACAACAAAACCCATGTTTCTCTACTTAATGACAATTCAGGAAACATTTATTGACTATAAACTGAGTAACCATGGCCCAGAGTGCTGCTATCCAAAGCACAAAGAATGAATGATAAGAAATGAGAGACATAATATTCCCTCATTGTGAGGCATACTGCTAGGTTGCTTGTGTTTCTTCATGTACAAGTGAGAAAAACCATTCTACTAAGCTGTTGTTTGTTCTTAATTATTATAACTGCTTAGCACCAGGCTCTCTACAGCATGGGTATGTAAAATCTACAGTAAATGGAAGGGCTGAAATGTGAATGAAAGTCAGTGTGTAGATTCTGAACTCCATCACATCACCTCCCAGAAAGGCATGTGCTCCCCAAGACCACCTTCCAATAATGAATACTTTTTAAAAAGGAAAGAGTACTGGAGGAGGGGAAAGGGAGGGGGGAGGAAGGAAATAATGAATGAATGAATGAAAATCCAACTTTTCTGTAAACTTTCATTAAAATCACAATTAAAATAAAAAAAAATTAACAAATAAAAGAGGTGAGCTGTCCTTAAGGAACCCATAGTCCTTAATAAAGAAAATGGCAAAATGCAGCCAGACATGAAAAGAAAGCATTCAACTGCATTATCCAATACAAAAAAATTCTAGAACACTAATTATGAAAAGAAAGCTCCTCAGAAGAGGCAACATAGAGTATTAAGAACCAGGTTTTAGAGGGAGAAAAAAGCCTCTATGAATTTTTGTAGTTTCTTAATGCTGCTCTAACAAACCACAAGTGGGTGGCTTTAACAAGCAGAAATTTATTTTTCAGCCTTTAAGAAGTTTAAAGTACAAATTCAGGGTCCTAGGTGAAATTCAGATACATGAGATGAAAGCTTTCTCTAATCTGGGTGAAAACTGTTGTTTCTTTCAGCTTGTCTACCTTGGTGATCTCTCCGTTTACTGTACTCTATTTGTGCTTGCTTCTGTCCTTAATGCCACGTGGATAGCCAGGGTAATGTGAATGGGGTGTCTTGGTCTATTCACAATGAGACTGGCTAATCTTGCTATTGAGCAGATTCAACCATAGAAACTGAGACTCCCACCACCAGCAAAGCAGCAGAGAATGCAAAGTGTGAGTCCTTTGGAGCCAAAGATTGCTGCATCACTTAGACCAGGGCCTACAGAAGCAGCAGCCCCAGCAGCCTGAGCTGAGAACCAGGGACCTGACAGGACGCAGAGCTGACTGTGAGACTGCTACCCTGCAGAAGCAGAGGTAGGATCCTTAGCCCAGATTTACTTGAAGCCTAGGGGGGAGACCCTCTAAATGGCAGGGTTAAAATCTTTGTAACACTGGCCTAAAGCTGTGAGGCTGAAGTAATTGCAGGCACATTTTGGAAGTGAGTCTAACTTAGTGATTGTATACTACTACCAACCTGAATTATAGTCTTTTGCCTTCCCTAATAATCACCATTAATTGTGAAGGGGTGTGAGGAGGGAAAGCACTCTAAAAAGAAATTCAGGAACACAACCTAACTATTAAAAAAAAAAAAGTAACTGCCTTATGATATCCTTGGTGGTGATGTGGTTAACATGTGACACTGCTAATCAAAATGTCATCAATTAAAATCTACCGTCCACTCAGAGGGAGAAATTTGGGGTAATCTGCTCCTGTCAAGATGCATGGGTGAGAACAATAAACAGTCTCCTCCTGTGTAATGGATAGCTTCATAAACCCAATGGAGGATCAGCTATGAGTTAGGTCTGACTTGATAACAATGAGTTGAATTGTCCAGTCTTTTGCAACCTGTCTTTTGATGCTGCTACCATGAGGTTGAATGTGGATCCAAGGAAAAGAAAATCATTAACAACTTCAATCTTTTGTCCATCTACTATGATGTTGTCTATTGCTCAGGCAGTGAGGATTTCTGTTTTCTTGATGTTGAGAAGTAGACCATATTGAAGGTTGTAGTTTTTTATCATCTTCAGTAAGTGCTTCTAGTCTTCTCTTTCTGCAAGCAAAGTTGCGTCATCTGTATAATGTAGGATTTTTCATGCGTCTTCCTCAAATTCTGATGTAACATTCTTTGGACAAATCTACTGTCAAGGACTTTAAAGTGCTAATGAACAGGTAAGTCAGTGTAAAGACTCAAGTGTGCCTGATGCAAGCTGTAGTATTTACAATTGTTTCCTACGCATCTGCAAGCTGGACAATGAAGAAGTTAGGCCAAAGAAGAATCGACGCCTTAAAATGTGTTGGCAATGAGTATTGAACATACACGGACCATCAAAAGGACAAACGTATCTGTCTTCAAAGAAGAATTATCCTGGAAGTGAAGAGAGTGAGACTTCTTCTCACATAGTTTAGGCATATTGTAGAGAGGTACCGGTCCTTGGAAAAAGACATCATCTTGGCAATTGTAGAATGTCAGAGAAAAAAAGGAAGACCTTCAATTAGATGGATTGACACAATAACTGCAGCAATGAGCTTGAGCATTACACAAGTTGTGAGGTTGGTGCAAAACAGCTAAGTGCCCACAGACAGGGTCCCCATGAGTCATATTCAACTTGATGGCACCAAATAACATTTTATCATTTTAATTCCCACCAAATCACTGGACTAGAACTATGCAAGTATGATGTGACAGCAGCCTACACAGAAAAATGGATGGCATGCTAACGATGTAAATAATATATGTGGCACCTCTATGGGGGATGTTGTTGTGTGGTGCCATCAAATCAACTGTGACGCATAGCAGCCCTATGAAAAACAGATCTGAGCCCTGCCCCACCCTGCACATCACCATCGCGATCTCCCTCAGGTTCAAGTCCATTGCTATAGTCAGTATGTCAATTTATCTCATTGAGGGTATTCCTTTCTTTTGCTGGCCTTCTACACTTCGCAGCAAGACAGGTTAGTCTCTAAGGATTAGTTATTTCAGAAAATATGTCCACTCTAAGTGAGGCCAAGTTTCACATTCCTTGCCTGTAAGGAGCACAGTAATTGCATTTCTTCCCAGACAGACTGGTTTGTTCTTTTGGCAATCCGTGATATATTCAGTACTCTTTGCTAACATCACAATTCAAAGGTATCCTTCTTCTTGGGTCTTCTTACTCAATGTTAAAATTTCAGATGAACGTTAGTCTTTAAGCCGACACCCTTGCTTCTTTAGCATTTTGGAGAGTTCCTTTATAGCAGATTTCCCCGATGCAACATGTCTCCTGATTTCTTGACCACATTGGTGGGTGTTGATTGTGGGTCCAAATAAAATGAAATTGTTCACAACTTCAATCGTTTCTCCATCTATCATGATGCTTTCTAGAAAACAGTCACATCCATGATAAAGGAATTTTTTAAAAAATACAAATCTACTGCCTTGACCTCTAGTTCTATTGAGATACTTAGTTTCTCCTGTATTAGTAACTCAGCATAAATGACCATTCTGAAAATTTGCGTTACTCCATTCAAGCAAGTTCAGGCATGATTTAACACTGCAGAAGTTCTCACTAACGACTGTTTTTATAAAGCTGCCATTTCCTCTAATTCAGAATACCATTTGAAAGGAATTGAATATATATTCATTAAATGCCCTTTCCATGCCAAAATAAAGTCTTAAGTAAACCAAAACCCATTGCTGTCAAGATGATTCCAATTCGTAGAGACCCTGCACGATGGAGTAGAACTGCGTCATACGAGAGCAGATAGTCACAATTCTCTTCTGTAGATCTGCTGATGAACCACTGCACAACTGCCTTAATAATTATAAGGTAACTGAGGTAGTGTTTAGATTTTCCATGTAAGCCAATGATTATAAAGCAATCTACAAAGTGAAAGCATTGTAAACAGTTACTCAGTGCATTGTGTAGCCTGAGACTATCAAGAATAGTTGTAACCAATCAATATTTACTTTTGGTACTAAGTTAAGAATATTAATGCTTAAAGTACACACTGAAAAATAAGCCAAAGAATCACAGTATATCTTCTATTTAATTTTTGTTAACTCTCTTTTGTGGGTAACTTTGCAGTTTTTACAAGCAACTAATACATTTCAATATTTTGTAGTGTTAATTTCTATTTTGCAGAGGGAAGGGCGTACGCCAGGGATGCATCCTATCTCCATACCTTTTCAACCTATATGCAGAACAGATTATCCGGGAGGCTGGGCTCTATGAGGAGAAATGTGGGTTCAAGATTGGTGGAAGATCTAGCCACAATCTGATACAACCCTGCTTGCTGAAACTGAGGAGGACCTGAAGTGCCTGCTGCAGAGTGTCAAGGACTGCAGCCTACAATATGGATTGAGGCTCAATGTCAAGAAGACAAAGATTCTCACCACTGGACCAATTGGCAGCATCAGGATGGATGGTGAAGAGGTTGAGATTGTACACAGCTTTAGTTTGCTTGGCTCCATAGTCAACAGTCTTGGCACCAGCAGCCAGGAAATTAAAAGGCGCACTGCCATGGGAAAGTCTGCTGTTAGGGACCTCTCCAAAGTGCTGAAGAGCAATGGTATCTCTTTGGAGACTAAGGTGTGTCTGATACAGGCCATGGTCTTCGCAATCACCTGTTATGCATCAGAGAGTTGGACAATGACCAAGGAGGATAGAAGGAGAATTGATGCCTTTGAGCTGTGGTGCTGGAGAGGAGTATTGAGAATACCATGGACTGCTAGGAAAACAAAGAGATTTGTCCTGGAAAGGGTTAAACCGGGTGGCTCCTTGGAGGCAAGGATTCTGAGGCTCTGTCTAACTTACTTTGGACATGTTGTGAGGAGAGACCGGTCCTTGGAGAGGGACATCATGCTTGGGAGGGTGGAGGGACGGCGCAGGAGAGGAAGGCCCTCTATGAGGTGGATTGATTCAGTGACTGGGATAATTGGGATGGGAGTGTCAGAGACAGTGCGATTGGCACAGGACAGAGCGGAGTTTAGGGCTGTTGTACATAGGGTCGCTTTGAGTCGCAGGCGACTCGACGGCACATAACAACACAACAACAACCTAACCAACTGCCACTATGTTTTAATGGATATAATTTTCAATAAAGCTATGGAATGCAAAAACACCCAAAACTAATATGCCCTGTAAACTTATACACAAATTAAGGGATAAAAAAGAGAAACTGCATGAAAAGCAAAACATAAAAGTCTACTTTGTACCAAAACTAAATGTGTGCCCTTGAATGACCTACATTTCTTGAATGTTGTTGTTATGTGCCTTCGAGTCTCCCGCAACCCATAGTGACCCTGTGTACAGCAGCTCTGAAGCCTTCCCTGTCCTGACCCAGTCTCACGGACTTAGACACACTGACCCCCACTGCCCCAGTTACTGTATGCATCCATCTCATCTGGGGTTGTCTTCTCCTGCATTGTCCCTCCACCTTTCCAAGCATGATGTCCTTCTCCAACGAATAGTCTGTTATATAGAATACAGCATGACTTTCTTGTTGCTGCTATAACAAGTAACCATATCCTTGTAGAATATATCACTCAAAATTCATTTTATCAATTTGCTTTTTCAACATTTCTCCTATATTTGAGCCCATTATTTAATGTAACACAAAAGAAAACAAGCCTAGTAGCCATGTGTCATGATTTATACAATTTGCCCTCTTGTCTCTGTGATACTCATATTTCAGCAAAACAGATATGCTTTGTGCCAGGCTTTGCTCTTTCTGCCAAAGCAATGTCAAAGCTACATTACAAAGCACATATAAAGTTTAAAATTTATACCTAAATTATAGATGCAACAATAGGCCAAGACATGACCCAAATGGAGGTAAATTTGGGTAAAGGCAAGGAGAAAATGTATATTAAACAAGGAGAGATATTTATTTACTTTCTATAGCAGTATGATAGGATGTTTCCTCAATTCTACTACAGAGATTCAATCAACTTTTAATTTGAGGCTCAAGATTTTGTCAAGATGTGAGTAACTCTATTAATAAAATTTTTTTTTAAAAAGCCATCTTATATTTTATGGACATATGTTCTATCAACTTCCAAGAGAAGGCTCACTAATAAGAATTTTACTTCCTAAAAAATGAAAGTACTTCTCTATGCAAATTATGTCTCAAGAACATTAGTTAAACATTGACCTTTTGAATCCTGGTTGTCTCAGTATTTTTTTCCTGAGCATTCAGTCCTCCTTGTTTCTGAATTTCTACTTTCATTCCATTCACAGGGCCTGAAGGCTGCCATGAATCATCCCATATATCTTGGGGTGTAGAAAAACACCAATCCTATAGAGGAAGAAAATGCAACAATAGACCAAGACATAGTGCCACACACAACCCAAATGGACAAAAAAGCAGGCAAAGCAAAGGAAAAGAGGGAATGAGTATTAAATAAGGGGGTGAAAAATTTCTCTATTTGTGGGACTTTCCTCCATTATTTTATTGGTTCATGCCCAAACATTGGTTCCTTTGAATATTCTGTATATCGAAAAAGATACAACTCTGTTGGTAGTATTTTCTTTAATGCAGACTAATGGCCAGATAATTTTTCATAATTATCTAGCAGTTAAAGGATAGATACTAACAGAATAATTTAACTGTAGGTAATTATTTGTTATTAACCAATGGAAAATTAATTTTAAAAGTGTATTTCAAACTCAAACTCAATGCCGGAGAATTGGAACAACCCAGAGCAGACCATTGAGTGGGTTTCCCGAGGCTGTAACTCACAAGGAGGAGATGGCCCATCTTTCTTCTGAGGAGCTGCAGTGAATTAAAAGTGCCAGAGAAGTGCTATTTTGGGGTTAGCAGTGCAGCTCCCTGTGGGCCAGGCCACAGGAGGTCCCTAGAGTATACTGAGACCCCTTTTCCCACAAACATTCTCACTGTGGAGACCAAAAGGTTTGTTAAAAGCTAATTCAACAAAAGCTAAAATTAGTGGAAATGGTTCTTTAGGTTATTAAGAAATAGTCAAGGATCTGACTAGAGACCAATAAAAAACCAAAAATCCTAATGACCACGAGCATAGATAGGCACATGGTCAGTAAGTCTACGACCTATTCCCTCCAGGTTCCATCAGGCTCCCCATCGCTACCATTATCATCATCCCTTGAAAACAACAACAGTAAAACATGTATTCGTCTGAATTTTAGTCTGATAAATGCCTTTGAATTCTAGGATGTACAGCTTCTTTTGGGTAATTTAAATTCCCTTCTCTAAGCAATAGTTTGTTTTCTATTTTCCCCTTAAGAGCTGACCTTCTGTGGTATTTCTTTACATGATGGTTTCTTTCCACCAAAGCTTGAGGTAAATGGATGAGAAGCAGCAATACCTCTCTTCCCCATTTTAGCCTGCAGAGGTAAGCAATTCTCATCCCAAATATCATCACCTATTGTCACCAACTCCAGGCAGGGCATTCCAGGGGGAAGCTCATCCTAGAATGTATAAGAAGACAAAAAGACTACAAAATATGGTTTCTGTAAACACATTTCAAAATTTAGCTTTATTTTTTTTTTTCTTGATTTCAAGGTAAATACAGCAGTTTAAATACACCAATTGGGAGAAAATACTTGCCAACCACATATCCAAAAAAGTGCTAAGACCCAGACTTCATAAAACTATATAAACTCATTGCCATCAAGTAAAAAACTGACACTTAACTTCCTCTTTTTGGAAGCTGTGTAAGTTGTACAGGAGAAGATTGCCCTCTTACTCTAAGGAGTCGCTGGTAGCTTTGAACCATCAGATCAAGAGAGGGGTGTATCCTTTGGGTTAGCAATGCAGACTGCACCACGAGGGCTCCCCAAGCTATACAAAGAACTCTCAAAATACAACCATGAAAAACCGAACAATGCAGTTACAAAATTGGCAAAACACATGAAGACACACTTAAGTGGTGAGGATATTCAGATGGCAAATAAGGCTTTGAAAAAGGGTATAAGCACACTAGAAAACAGTTGGATATTTCTCATCTAAAACTAAATATGCAAAAAATCCCACAAAATATGCAATTATCACATGACCCAGCATATGATAACTGCACTCTTGAGTATTTATGCCTGAAAAGTTAAGGTCATACAACACTTAGTATGCAAAAGATCACAGACATTTTATTCATAAAAGCTTAACACTTGGTAATGGCCTGGATTTCTTTCATGGAATAAATGGGTAGACAAACTGTGGTACAAGCATGCCATGAAGGAATAAAATTTTGATCCAAGCAGTAACTTGCATGAATATCTGGGAACATTACTGAGTGGAGGGGGGAAAAAATCTAATCTCAAAAGGCGTAGGACTCCACTTATGTAACATTTTTGAGATGATGAAATTTTAGAACAGATTAGTTGTCTCCAGGGTTTAAGAGTTATGAAATTGGAGGTGACAGGAAGAAGAAGACAGTTACTGTTATAAAGGCCAACATGAAAGATATTTATTCAGTATTTTGACTGCAGTTTTGAGTATGTAAGTAAAATTATGAAAGTCTGATTAAGATCTGTGGGTTATATCAATGTCAATATTGTTGTGATCTTGTATTGTAATTTTGAAAAATGTTCCACTTAAAGGCTCTAAGCATCTCTTTGTATTATTTTTTGTTACTTTATTATTCAAATTTGTTGCTGTCAAGTTGAAACCAACTCAGAGGTGATCCTTCACCAGGTTTTCACAGGCTATAAATCACAGGGTGTCACAGTGATGGCTGACCAGGGCCCCTGACCTATAAGGCCTCTGCTTTGGGTGTGATGGCCCATCCTGGTGTCTGAGTGATTCCCAGGACCCAGAAAAAAGGGACCGAGCTTCCAGAGCTTTGAAGACAAGAGGAAACACTCCCAAATATGGACTCATTTTCCACTCCACCTTCATTGGCCAAGCAGCTGCTAAGAACAAAGGCCGCATCTCCCCATACCCGGCAAACAAATGCGGCATTGCCTCACGAACTGACTGCTTCTCCGAGGTGCCTATGAGTGTATTTGGGGAAAAGCTTCGCTAGCAAGTTGAGGAGCAACTCTCTTTCTATGAGACTGGAGAGATTCCACGGAAAAACTTAGACGTCATGAAAGAACCCATGGTTCAGGCAGAAGAAGTTTCGGCTGTTGAGATTACCAAGAAGCTGGAGAAAAAGGAGAAGCGCTTGACGAAGGAGAAGAAACGACTGGCTGCGCTTGCACTCGCGGCTTCAGAAAACAATGGCACTCTTGAAGATCAGGAATGTGAGAAAACTGAAGAAAAACCCAAAAATAAGAAAAAGAAAAAGCCCCAGGAGGCTCCACAGGAGAATGGAATGGAAGATCAGTCCAGCTCTGCTCTCCCTAAACCCAAGGAAAAGAAATCTCTGTCCAAGGAATTGGTCAACAGTGCCTTTGAAGAGCCAACTGTAAATGCAAAAGTCCCAAAGAGGAAGAAATCTTCCTCCAGAGAGGAACCAGAAGATCCTGAAGAGGTTGCAAACAGTGTCCCAAAGAAAAAGAAGAAGCTTTCTAAGGAGGAGCCCGTCAGCAGTGGACCTGAGGAGGCTATCAACAAGAGCACTAAGAAAAAGAAAAAAATCAAAAAAGCATCCCAGGAAGATTAGAATGGACATTCCCTGGGGGTGGGAAGGGCATACACAAATGTTTCCCAATAAAAAACTGTTTACAAAAAAAAAAATCACAGGGTGGAGACTGCCCATCTTTCTCCCACTGAGTAGATGGATTTGAACTGTGTGCCTTTGAAATGGCAGCTCAACTCTCCTTACTCAGTAGACAACTGTATGTATATTCAATTATCTCAACTTTCAATTATAAAATATAAGAAAGAATACCAATTCTATATATGCTTTCCCAGAAAAATCTATCAGAAGGGAACACCTCTCAACTTAATTTGTGAGGCTAGTACTAGATGTACTGGTGTGGGAAGCCAAATTTCAAACTAATAGTAATGATAAACCAAATGCTATATCAGAATATGAGGGAAGCACAGATACAGGCTGGAATTCCCCCTGAAGCACTAAGGCAGACCTTAGGTGTCTATACAATTCTTGGATTGAAGTTGCTAATCCCTCCCTTCTGAGTCAAACGTAAGGTTTTTCATAGAAAGAGCTTAGCTTCATTCGCATAGAATTCTCTTTGTGATTTGCTCCCTGGCAATTTTCAGTAAAGACACAGGGAAGCTGGGGTTCAATGCTTCAGTTCTTCCAGCTGTTTGCCCCCTGCTTTATGCTCTGTTTTCTCCTCCATTCTTGGTGCCCATCTTGTTCTTTATTCTTTACCAGTGCCCGACAACATTCTGGAACCTGAACAGGGATGAGGTGGTAGCGTGTCTGTCAGTCTCTGTCTTTCTCTGTCTCTCTCTCTGGAAACCAAAAGGGAATTTTCTCAGGGTAAGTAAAACTTTCAGGAAAATTAAAGGCAGAGTCATGAAGAAATCCTCAAAATCTGAATTTTGTTAGAAATTTAGGGGTACAAGTAGAAAAGATTTCATGAGGCCTTTTTCACCCCTTGAATTTTTTATATAAATTCAAGGGTGGAGATAGAAAAGATTTAATGAGAATTCTCTGAAGTTTAATAAATTGCTTTTAAAAAACCCCTCGGAGGCAGAAGTGAAAAAAGAGCCATGGGGAACAAACAGTTCATCCTCTGAAGCCCAGTATATCACATTACTTAAAGAATTACTTAAGAGCTCAGGGGTAAAAGTAAGAGAAAGGTTATTTTTGCAGTTGTTTCAGTCTGTGCAGAAACACAGTTGCTGGTTTAGAACAGTAGATAGAGCGCAGTTAAATTAAAAAACTTGGCAAAATGTTATGTGAGCTTTACGAAAAGCACATCAAAAAGAAAACAGACTCCTATTAATTTTTTGGCCAGTAAGGGCTTTGAAAAGTAATAAAAAATGTCTGTGCAGGATTGTACTCATAATCCAAAAACACTGCAAAGAAATATGGCTGAATCTTTCATGAATCTTAATTAAGTGATATTGCATTAAAGCAGGTTAAACCTGAAGGCAAGAAACAGCCTTTATTCCCTTTAGAAAGAGCTTACAAAAAGGGAGATGTGATTCTTGTTTCAATTTAGTCCCTATTCAGTTTGATCTAATTAGCTTTAAAATCATTAAAATCTGAAGAGGACATGTCTGAAAAATTAGAAGAAAAAACCTCTTCAGGTGAAGGTAATAGTGAATTTGATACAAAGGAAGATGAATGTCCACTACCTCCAACTCCAGAAGAATTAAGCAATATAATTAACATTACCGCCCACTTTTAAAATTGACTACCGTGCTTAGAAACACATCTGCCGTCATTTGCTTCAACGTGTTAAGGATGACAGTCCTTATGCGAAATTAACTATTTTTAGGACTTTCTAGTAAAATAGACAAGTTGGGTTTTCATAATGAAATCTATTACCAAAATAAAAATACAACTCCATCAGGGGCAAATGTTCCCGATTCTATATTATTTAATGATATGAATCATGGTCCATTGGGAGTAACTACATTTAAGAATACGAGCTATGTCTATGGCCTTGTTAACAGGCAAAACAAGATGATTTATCTAATTAGGGAAAAGGGGCTTCTATATTTCCAGTACCAATTCAGGATATTCCTCCTGATCAAGATTTTCCCCAAAAGTATCAATTGTATCAACATCATTCGTTGCCTTATAAGACTATTAAAGAATTAAAGCGAGCATAGTTGCTTATGTTATGCATTCTACCTAAGTAAGAGGCATATTACAAGGATTAGCTACAGAATTTAGATTAATTCCTTGTGATTGGGAGTCCATGGTCAGGACAATTTTAGAATCTGGGGCATATTTACAGTTTAGAACTTGGTGGGTTGATGAAGCGACAAATATGGAGAGGATTAACTTAATCTAGAAATCCTCCTCTTAATGTTACTGTGGATCAATTGTTAGGGAAATACCAATGGCTTGGAGTGCGAGCCATTACAATATCATGATGCTGTGATTGTACGAGTAAGACTTTGCTGCATGCAAGCATGAGATAAACTAAAAATTTCAGGAAAGGGAGAGCAATCCTTTATCAGAACAACACAATCTGAAAATGAAAAATATACTGATTTTCTATCTAGATTAAAGGATGCTATTAATAGAGCAGTATCTCAACCAGAGGTTCATGAGCGTTTGTTATGTCAAAAGGCCATCAGACCATTAAAAGTTCAGAACACTCCCTTAAATTAATATATTCGTGCTTGTATGGACATTAGAACTAGTTTTTACTAGAGGAGTCCAGAATTAAGGTTGCATAGAGAAGTGTACTCGGTATATGGGTGTGGGGGGATTGTATACCAATGAAAGAATTTTTTTTCTTTTTCTTTTCAAAGAGAGGATTGAACCGGTGGGAAGGGGTGGACAGGGAGAAAAGTGCAGGAATCAATGTATGGATATCCAAAATCTCTGTAAATGTTTATTAAAATTAATAAAAATGAAAAAACAAGAACTAGTTAT